AGGAATGCCCTTCATTCGTTCCTTTCTGCTTGTGTTTATCGGGTAGTGTTGGTGTTGCTCACCCTTCCGCTTATAATGCCCTGTAAAGTGTTTCTCACTAATTACTGGGTTGGCTACTGTCTCCATTGAAATATTTATGCATTTTCTTGCAGGTCAGAGACTCCTGCGGTACACAGTGTGAAGTAAAGGGTCTAAAGAAAGTATTTCAGTTTAGGTCAAGAGACCAGAATGTTGAATGAGTACACTTTCTGTTCAGTTCCAGCTTGTGTTCAGCTCAAACTGAAGTTATTTTTGATAGGTTCTTCTTTAAGGTGAAGCTGGTTCACCATTGTTTTAGTCAGTTTAGGCTGTTTCCAAGCAAGCGTCAGTGCGTAGAATGAAAGGCGTCAGGCAGCGGTGGTGGGCTGCTGCAGCATCCTCTGGGAAAAGGCTCCTGCCCACGGCACTTTCCCTCCTGCAGCTCACTTACCCCGAGCTTACCAGTGGCATGACTCCTCTTCTGCTCCCGTGTTGCTCACTTAGGACTGAAGACTTAAGAGAAGCCATGGCATTGTGCTGCCGTGAGAATGCCAAGAGAGGCACCTCTGTGCCTGGGGAGGAGGAGACGAGGGGCAGCTTGCTGTCCTCTCTCCCCAGTTAAGCCAGACTTGCATGTGACACTGTGTAAAATACAGAAACATCCCGTTTGCACAGAGCTGTACGAACACGTGCACACCCACCAATGCACACGGCAATACCATCTGTGGGAGCAATGCGGAGTGTGGCGAGGAAGAGGCAGGTAGGAAAGGGGATGTGTCAGTGAGGCTCTTCCTGCCTTGTGAGCCCTTTGGAGATGGGCAGGCTTCCCTGAGAGCACAGTGGCTTTCAGCGAGCTGAGCCAGGACCCTCCTGCTTCCCCTCACCTGACCCTCTGTCGGACTCAGTAAAGGCTGGAACCTAATAGTTCAGGGTCAGCCTTTTCTTAGGAAGAAATAATGTTTTAAACTAGTTTTCGGCTCAGATTTATTTTCTCTGTTTTCTGGCATTGTGCTTTGCAGTTTGCACATAAATCAGTTACAGATTGAGCACACAGAGGTTAACATCACTGCTGCCCTTCACGTCCACGTGATTGCACACATAGCAACATGAGTTTGGCAGATGGCAGCTTAAAAAGTCAGATTCTCTATTTTCTAATCAAATGGCACTTTTGAGATAGAATCTGTGGTATTTACTTGTTGTTTGAGTGACTAAGGTGATAAGCTAGAAAACTTGCAGATGCCGTTTCTAAGGGCTCTATCTGAATCAATACACTGGTTGCTGTGCATTCCTGTTTCATAGGTTGAATAACACGCTGCTTTAAATGATTTATCAGAGAACTTTAAAGTAAAACAAACTCTAAAGCCAGAAATTACGTTGACTGCTACCACTATAGTTTTTTAGGCATTTTTAGTGCATTTCTGCAGATGTTTGTCTGTTCTGGAATCTAAGTTAAATTAAGTTTAATGGATTTTTGGTTTAGTATTTAGGTTCTATGCTGGTGAAAGAGTTAAGAGGCACAGAGTCGACACAGGATGCGTGTGCAAAGATGAGGGTAAGTTAGTAAACCTACTCCCTTTTCTGTCATCATAATATTAACTTGTGATTATTTGTACTGTGTCATTTTTATAATGTTCTATTACCCATTTATTTTCCATTTTCCTTGCATTTATGTTGGCATTCAGTAGGAAGTCTGTTCTGCCTTTTATCTTGATTTCAAGTAATACCAGAATTTAAAGGTAGATTTTTATTTTGCATGTTGTATCTAAGAAAAAACAAATGGATGCATTACATTTTCTTTCTTGAATCTTCCAAGTATGTTTCAAAGTGCTTTCCACACGCTTTAAATGTGCCCATATCACATTGCTTTTATAAACAGAATTTATAGCTGGTATATGATAATCTAGATTGAATTTACATATAATATATTAACAAGTTACCAAAGCCATTGTTTTTTTATATATGGTCTAATCCTACAGTCACATAATCTTATGGTGCCTTTAATCACATGAGTATTTCCATTTATTATGAGTGAGTTACATGTTTATTGATCAAAGGATGAAAAGGGATCTAATTCAGTTTCACCTCATGGTGGAAAAGCAGTTAGGTTTCCTTCAAACTGGTGAGAATATGTTTTCCTATGGCTCTTTGGCCTGATGTTGGTTTGTAGAAAATCACAATGAGGCTCAGTCTATCTCCAACAAACATTCTGCTGCTGGAAACCCAAAACAAGTGTATTAAGAATGCACCTGTTCATAGAGATGGAGAACATATCATGGTCTGGCATGATTAATTAATGAAGAATATAATTGTTTGGTAATCTACCAAACCTGTAAAATTACACTGATGAATGACTGAAACCCATTCTTCTGTGGATCGTAAGTCTCATATGCAAAATGCCTCTGAGCACTAGACATAGTATTCGGATCAATTATGAAGCTGGAAGACGTGTAAAATTCATGCAATCAGACATTCATTTCCCCTTGGTTACGTATCTGCAGCACACAGCCTTCTGTACAAGCTGTTTTAGCTAAGGGCTGGCAGTAATTCACACTTACTAGAGTGCCTCAAGATCCATGGCTTTTCAGCTAATTGCATGCTAATCATTCCTTACCTGGGTTTAAACTCGTCTTAAAAAAAAAATCGCAACAACTTGACACAGAGGGATCTACAGTCACATACACGTGTTCTGGGGGATTAATTGGGGCTGCAAGTGTACCATCTTCCAATCCAGTTTTCACACTGTCAAATTTAGCAGTTCAGATTTTTTAGGCGTATGCCTGTGCAGATCTTAGGGCAGAATTTGACACCCTAGCAGCATATGACATCTTCAGTAAGTTATTTGACTGAACTAGGAAGCTTAACATCAAAAAAGTCACTCTAAATAATTTATAGCCATTTTAAGGTTGGTGGGGTTTTTTTTATTTTAAGTCGTAAACTTAGAAAATTTCAATTATATACCTGAAAAATTAAGTGTTTGAAAACAAATTTAATGTAATATATGTTTTTAATAAAAATAACAGAGTTGCACTAGTATTCTATAGAACTATACAGGGCACTTATGGAGTGATGCAGTTTATATATATTCATTTTTACGTTGTGTTTTGAAACCATTGTGCTCCGAGAATGTTTGTTTTCTGGTTTGAGGGGTTTCTTATTGCAAAAAGTTTTGAATAAAACAATTCTTAATCAGGATTTCATCTATCTTTTCTATGTAGTCCTTTTAATCATATTCCTATTCAAGTCAGAAGCAAAAAGCATTGACTTAATGGGAACAGATTATTATTTTAGGGTAAGTTTCCCAGTGAGAAAAACGTATCTTTTCCCAAACTTTCTCACTCTGGTTGTGTTCTGAAAGTTGGTGTCTATTAAGTCCAGGTTGTCCTAAGACATCCTGAAGTTTTGATGTGGTGTTCATTATTGTATTTAAGTACCGTTGGGTTGTCATTGAAAATGTGGCTTCTTTTATAGTTACATTTTAGTTAAATGTACTGAAAGGAACATTTCACTTACAGAAGTGAAAAGCTAGGTATATTATTTGACTGCTTCTCAGATACTGAATTCTATCCACTTGTCCAGTCTCTTTAGAGTCAGTAACATTTTTACATAGGGTTGTACTAACATGATGGAGCAACTTTTTCTAGTTTTAGTGTTTAGGTTTTTTCCATTTATATATTTCAAATCTAAAACTTGCTGCAGTCTGAAACATGCTGAGGGGGAGAACTTCACATATAACCTTACGTCACGTTGAGGTTCTTCCCCGTAATTTTTTAATCATTCTGGATCAACCACATAATGTTTTTTAAGGAGATGGTATGAAAATTAGGTACCTAATTTTTCTGTCAATGTGGCTTTAGCTACTCCATCTTTAGCCTAATGCTGCTGAAAAAAGTGTTGGTATTCATTGGATGTCTTCCAGTCAGCAGATGCACAAGGACAAAAGAAGCCTATCAGTGAAAAAAGTATCTTGATCTTACTTAATCATTCATTGACACAGAGAAACAACAAAAATGACATGTTTGCTGACTGCAGATCTCTCCCTGTTAGTTGTAGATGGTTCCTGTACTTTCAGTTACTGCAGTCGATGGGTTTGGTTCTCAGGGGAAGTATCATGCAGATATCCCTCACGTCTCTCCACAAAGGGGATTACAGCAGCCTCCTCCTCTTATAGCTTAAGAGTGAAGGGAGATTGTAAATTTTCTGTAATGTAACAAACAAACGAAAAAAAAAAAAACAAAATCTGTGAACTTCTGTCTTAATAACTCTTCTTGGTTCTCCACTGTGCTTCTCAGCATCGTGCAGCAGTGTGCTCCAGCAGGGCAGATGATGGATTTGTTTGGGGAAAAGCATGCAGGTGCAGTAGATGGAGCTCAGCATGGGGGTCAAGGTTATACATGCTTTTTGTTCCCACCCAAACTGCAGACTCTTCCAGCCATCCAGAATTATGGATATTTGGCAAGAACTGTGCCTGTTAGAGGGATTATACTTTATTTTTCCATTCACATATTTGTGCTGCAAGGGTGGATTTATATTTTATGGTTTTCTATTTGTTTCCAGCTATTTTCTCTCACAAACTCCCTTTGCAGTCGACAGGACTGTCTCCTTATCTCTGTTCTCCACCTGCTGTAAACTGACCTTTGCTACTTGAGATTAAATCTTGCTGTCCTGGACAGAATAGATTTATTAATTATATTTGAGAGATGCTTTCAAGAACTTAAGAGCTTTCATCTTATTCAGCGTGGAATAGGAAATATTACAAGTTGTACTTTTAATCGGATTACTGTTTTCACTTCAAGTCATCATAGATATACCAAGCAAGAATAAAATGTGTTTACATCAAAATAAAGAAAAGGAATAAAGTTTGATTTGAGCTAGAAAGAGACTTATTCTCTATAGTAGACTTCATCTGACATTTACACATCTGAATTACTTGACCAGGTAGGAAGGGGGTAGTTTTATACTTACTAGCATGAGCACAGCAGCAAGGTAGACTCTTTCCTTGCTGTAATGTTAAATCACTGATGCTGCATACACCAACTGCATAGTCTGAACCAATCACATATTTGCTGCAGCAGTAGGGAATTTAGATTTTTTCCTTGGACCCTGCCACCTTTCTGAATATTATGTGTCTTACTTAAAGGTTTTCTTGTTAGAAAAGAGGTTTTTACATTACAAGTCAAAGTTCTGGGGAACCAGCAAAATAATTCTATTCACAGAGTAAGTGTTTAAATATCTCGTTGACTTAAGACCAACATGTCAAAGTTGGAGTTGTTACAAAATCTGCTTCTCCTATCTCTGGAGAGGAAGATGAAGATGAAGCAGAGTTGACTTTTTCACTAAAATTAGGCAGGGTCTGGGACATTCCTTCTTCATTTCTTCTTACATAAAGAAGGAGGACCTGGATATAGATGGCAGTATCCTTTTTTTCTGCTAATCTCTTTCTACTTTTCAATATCCATTTAATTTCTCCCCCCAAAGGTAGAAGTGTCCTCAATAGGCCTCCTAGTGAAACTAGCCAGGCAAATACCATGGAACTAATACTGTCTTTGAGAATTTATATTCTCTTCAGACTTGTAGCTCTGTCTCTTTTCGGTGGCCACTGCTTTGCGAGAGCCTGCAGTGCAACAGACACGTGGATATTACTCAAAGGGGAAAAAAGAAGTGGTGGGAGGTCTTAAAAAGATGTTCAGTCCTTACACACATTCACATCACGCCATCAGAGGATTGTATGTCCTTGAACTCTGTGGCTGGAAGGAATTCAAGGCACAGGAGGGATGTGCTGCGCTTTCAGCAGCAGAGGAGTGTGTACAGATATTGCAAAAGCAAAAAACCTCTTATTCTCAAGTAGATGAGTTGCAGGTGCATCCCCAGTGCAATATTCATATTAATGATGTAGCTTGGAGGCATCCACTAATTGTAGAGAAGTAAACAGTCTTGAACCACAGGGATTAGAGATGCTATCTTATTCCAAGAGGTATTAAATTATGTCAGTGATGGATTTTTAAGCCTTTTGGACTAGAGAAGTTAGCAAATATTTGTAACAAGGCAGACTGTAGTTTCAAATTTGGCTTCAAAACTAAGTGATCAAATGTGAACTTTGACTTTTTATTTTAATTTCATCTCATGCATGATATTGTCAAAGTGATTCACTCAAAACGAACTGTCTAATAAGGCTTCATTAAACAGTCTGAGTAACAGACTTATGGGTATGATGGTAGGTGGTACCAATACATATTTTGAAATGTGCAGTTTGATGCCATTGGAATTAATAGTTGCTACCAGTATGGGAAAATGTGGATTCCAGTAAATAACTGAATAGTAATATTGCCAGCTACAGCCTTCAGATAGCTATTAAAAACAGTATAGGACAGAATTAGCAGATTCATTTGCAAAAGTAAAAAGCCAGGATGAAATCTCAAGATTTTACAGCCTCATAAATTTATACTCAAAATTTATGTATGAAATTGTTGGTGACTTGGCATAGCTGAATAATGTCTTTTTATTATATATTTGCAAGATCGAGTATAATTACATATGCTGTAAAACCAAAAAATAAACATGGTTTCATTTTGGCCACTGTATGAAAGCTGAGTAATCCAGTTATAAATGTATATGTAAGTACATGAAAGTGGTCAGTGAGGCAAAGTAGAAGTACCAGTGTATCCCATTTCCTCTTGGCAGGAAATAAATAGATGAGATGAAAGGATTTTGAGAGTGGGCTGGATTACACCGTGCGCTACAGTGTATCAAGTGAATGTGTGAGCATCTTACTCAGACACCGTTCTGTGTGAGCTCCTGAATTTCTTATTCAGCTGCTCTACAGAGATACCATGTTTTGTACACTGCAGGAGTATTCAGAAATGTTGGATTAGTGCTCTCAGTTCTGCACAGAACAAGTTATTGCAGTACAATCCTGTCTTCAACATGTTAAAGGCCCTTCAGTGTTACAGGTTTTGTATTTGCATGAGTATGCTTTTTAAAAATAAAAGCCAGTTTATATTGCTTTATTCATAGAACAAAGTCCTCTACCTCTTAAACCATTGTTAATTACCTTGATTTGTTAGGCACACTGACTGGGTAGATCTCAGATTAGTTGGTATTTTAGTTTATATTCTAAATAAATGTCAAGCGGTTCTGCACAGGCTTTAACTCAGAATCAAAATACAGGTGGAAATTCTTTACCCATTTAAGACAATTTGTAGTACCATGCTATGGAAATCTGTTTAGAGACTGCTTGTATGGTGTTTTTTCCTGTGAAACTAAAGAAAATGCATAAACAAGATCAGAAGCAAGCTTGTTCTGTCTGGCACTACTGCTCTTGCACACCCTTATGACTGGTTTCAAAAGGATGAATTGGGAGCAGCCCTGTCCAAGGCTAGTCAGGCTTTTGGCACTGTCCTGCGTCACGGCAGCAGTGGGCTCAGATGCAAATGCAGAAGAGTCTTAAATCCAGACCTTTATTGTAAAAGCAAGCACTGTAATAACTAGGCAGTTATGCAGAAGATGCCTCCCACCTCCTTCCACTGGACAGATCTCCATTCTGGGTGTTGAGGGGACGAAGCAGCTTTATTGCAGCAGCTGCATCAAAATACATGAGAAGCTGTGATTCCTGTTACTTTTTCTGCTTAAGAAAAAGAGGCTCTATGTCTTTTTGGGGGTCTGGGAAAGCTGGACAAGTGTCACAGTAGATTTAGGATGGTGATGCTTTCTTTCATCTTCCTGTGTCTGCAGCCAAGCCTGCTTTATGGTTCTTAACACACGGCTGACTTCCACAGTCATCTGCCTGTCCTGTAGGAAGTATTTTGGAAGTGGGACTGAAGCTCAGTCTCTGACATGCAGACTCTGCAGCATTATGACTTCTCGCTGCAGGAGCAGTGCACCTGGGGAGACAGGGCATGCACATCTGTCCTTAGTAGTGCCTGGCTGATCAGAAACAGGCAGTGGCAGTGAGCCTAGATTATGCTTGCATCCAGATGATTCTTCTAAATAACCGTATTAAAACAAAGAGCCAAAGTTGCAGTCACAAACAATGGAGTTTGTAGGAACTGTGACCAGTTCCAGGCTAGTGAGCACTTGCCCTGAGACAGGGTCCTGTCACTATGATTGCTTCTACATGAGATAAAATCTAATCCTGCCGCCGTGGTATGAACATGCCTTGGAGCATTAGACCGTATGTCAGCATGCACATGACATCCAATGCCAGCCTTCAGCTGTGGCTCCTATAACTTTGGCTCAAGTCCATATGCTTCCCATAGAGGCAGCAGATGGACAAGAGTATTTTGTCATCTCATTGTGTCCTCACAGAGCTGATAGGTGGCTAGAACCTGAAAACCCCAAGGAAAGAAAATACAGGCTCCTGTGTCCCACCCTCGTCTCAGATTCTGGTCGCAGGCACAGGCAGAAATGCCCACTTGGCTGGCACAGAGGTGTGAAATGCCTGGCCGTGAAAGCTGCGGGACTTCACCTTAACATCGTGGAACCCAGAGCCAAAGCACTTACAGTGCCTGAGTGAATGGTATTCATGTTGATCTCTCAAAACTCATATTACGCATCCTGGCAGCCACCTCCTCCATTGAAAAGGAAGGAACAACAAGCAAATGTTACAAGCTCACCGTGACAACTCAAAACTGTCAAAGTGTGGAAACTGCTTGGAAATAATAATTATATGGTGGACTTGAGTTACTCCATCATTGGTCGTCCAGCGGGGGCGGGGGCGGAATACAGCTGTGTGTTTTTCATGATAGCACTGTCATAATAACTAAGGCTGATATTCCACTGCCCAGCTGTTTGTTGCAATAGGTGTGCGAGTGCAGAATTCTTCCCCAAAAATCCTATTCTACACTATCTTCCAGCACCTTTGCACAAATCCTGGGGTTTGTATGGTTTGCAGGCTGGTAAGCGATATCCACTGCTCCTTACCAGCTGAGACAGTTTGGCTTAATAAATTACAAATGTCCATCAGCCCTTGATTCATTTCCTAATTTGCCAGATATAATTTAATAGTATCTTGATGAGCTGTGTCACTTGGATACAGTCTTCTGGCAGTTCATGACCTCGATTAAATACTAAAGAGCAAGTCTGCTCTAGACAAACCCAGGTGAATGTGGAGTAGAAAAGGAAGATGATTAAATTACAAACTACTGGTCTCGATGAAAGAGGACTCCCAGATGGTTCGTACAATGTGGCCTCGCCAGCAGGAAGCCTCACCTTTATGGCAAACAGAAGATAGTGCAAATTAGACCAAAAAACTTAAATAAATTACCTTAGTAGCCGTGTTTATATAGGGTGTTGGAGGAGAAGAGGAATTTTGCTGCTAAGGAGGCAAGGAAGGAGATAATTACAGTAATCAAAATGGGAAACAAAGAGCTCCTGAGAGTAGCTGTCGGGATAGAAAGTACAGACAAAAGTTGGATGATTGTTGGGTTGCCAGATGATTAAAGTGGTGTTGTCATGTTTGCGAATATTCTATCTGGATATGAGCATGTGCAGGGTATATAGCTTGTTATTCCGATGGATGTATGTACTGCTGCTTCCGTACAGTCACTGTCATGCTTTCTGTGTGTTGAAATTGGATTTTATGAAAAGGCTCATTTGAGATCTGTGGCAGAGACACAGGCACGTGTACACACAGGTAGGTACTTGCTCTGCTTTTGGCAGAAGTACTGTTGCTTTCTGCACCCAGTTCAGAGACATGCAAATCAGATTAGTATCTTCCTTCAGATTTTGTTAGATTCTTCAGGATGTTTTACCATTTAGTCTTTCATTTTTTAAAAGTGCCTAGCCTTCTGGGTGAAAGAAGCTTTCTCCAGGGTAAACTGACACTTGATTGTCATCCTGAGTCTCTTGTCACTTGATACTGGAGATGCAACAGCAATCTCTGTTACACGGATGGGTGGGGCTCTCCCTGAGACTTTAATTAGAGGTTTTAGCCTTCATGGCACAGGACACTAATTGCAGAACGTAGCTGGATCTGTAGCTTTGAGTTTTATGCTGGCAAAAATAGAGTCTTATTTGATTCAGGAAGGAATGAGATCTGATAAGGGGACTTGATTAGAGTTTTTTTTCTTTTCAGCTTTTGATTTGTTTTTCTCTGCAGTGTTAACCATCACCTATTTTTCAGACAAGTTTTTTTCAGATACAGTCTGTGTTTTCAAGCTTATGTCTGTGATATTTTATTTTTCTTGAAGAATAAAAAACTACTACTGCTTCTTTTGTTCAGCTGCTCTAATGATCTTTCTCGGTGCCAGTTCTACACCTTTCAATGCGTTTACACTCCCATGTGCTGATCTTTAACTGTAGCTGAACTTACTCATCCCTCTCCAGAAATTGTTTGCTTGATCTCTATGATTGTTTGCAGATACTACCATGAGTGAGTGTTCTCTGAACTGCATCTACATTGTCTATCTGCAGTAGTTTTGTGTAGAATAGTCTTGTCCATCGTCTTCCACCATAAAAGAATTCAATCAGCTATACCCTATTATTCCCTTTTTTTTATTTAGTTGGGTGGTGATTTTTTTTAGTACATTTAATCTGTATACTAATCAACAGGTTTTTCTGCAGATAACTTAAATATTTGCCCAACCTGTTAAGCAGGAATTGTCTTTGATGTGTGCATCACGTTGAAGGCACACAGAAGTAGCATTAAAAAAAAGCTTTTTAAGAAGACAGGAACTGTAGGTAGGAGAACCTGGCACTGAGGGAATGCGCAATAACCCTCCGTGCTAATTCATGTGTAAAGCATCTTCCAGTAGCAGCTGCACTAGAGGAAGTGCAGACGCTCAGACGTGACAAGATACAGCGTTGGACTGACAGATTGACTGGCAGGCCTGGAGGGCTGCAGGGATACCTCATGTCACAAATACAACGGCAAGAAGGCAAGGGAGTGAAATATTTCTAAATAACAACTAATTGCAGCAAAGAAACAGTAGTACAAGAAGTACCGCACTGTTGGTTTTTACAGCTGGGAAGGGCAGGAAGGGAGGTGGTGGTGAGACAGCGGTGAATGGGGCACATTAGATAAATAGCTTAAACATGCACGCTTTCAGAAACCCTTGATTGCCTGACTGGTCTTTTTAAGCCTGGCAAACTTATTTCATTCTCTTCCCATTGTGCTAGGAAAAAAGAGAATTTTTATTGTCCTTGCAACAAACTGTAAAGCTCTTTTTCGTTTTGTAACTACAAGACAGCTATTTCAAAAGCCCAGAGCATAGTCAGCTCAAGAAAAAGTCAAATGTTTGGATAAGTACCTTTTGTTTAACTATGTATTTTGTCAGAGGACGAGCACTGTTCTTGCAATGCAACACAACTCTAACATCTTCCTTTTGATTTCAGAAGTCTACAGAACAAATGAAGAAAGTACCAACCATTGTCCTGTCTGTCTCTTACAAGGGAGTCAAATTTATTGATGCAACAAATAAGGTATGTGCAATTATCCATTATTAGCTTTTATTTCTCACAAATAGGAAATACCTAGGAGGCTGGCTCTGTAAGAGCACCGTGCCAAAGTTGCACTTTGTATTTTCCTCTCTTTTTGATCTTCTTTCCAAAATGGATGTAATCTTATTGTCATTCTCCAGAAACCAGTCTGGAGGACAAATGAAGCAGCTTTAACGGCTCTTTGGGAGAACATTGTGTCCAACCTTCTGCCATTTAAAGGCAAGCTTATCACAAAGGATATTTGGCAGGGAGCCTCAGTGGAACCATTTACCATATTCTTCCCTACGCAATTTCTTAAATATGCAGAATATATATATATTTGTACATTAATATAATTTTGGGAAAAAAAAAAAAGAAAAAAGACTCAATGAACAAAAAAAATTCAAGGTTTTACCCAGGGCTGGCTATTGTAAGAATAAGAAACATGATCCTTGAATGTCCTTTTTGAATGTCAGAGCCTCTTTGAGAGCTATTTTCCTGGTACTAGCCATTTGACTTCCTGAACTGCAGCAGCTTCCTAACAATTGTTATTCCATATTTTTTTCATCTTCCTGTGTGGCAGTGCCCCTGTGCTTTGTTTCTGAAATTTTAAAATACCTCCAATGTCTTTTTTTTTTTTTTAAAAAAGGGCAAAACCAGAAATTGAGAGATTAGAGAAGTCAGTGATGGACAGAGCAATGGGTTATTGCTTAGCCAAAGTAAACTGTACAAGCTCTGTAAGCAAAGTAAAGAAATGTGTGAATTTCTCTTCTTTGGGTGTTTAAAATGACAAGAAATTGCAGTCCATACTGATGCTTGCATATGAATAGAAAAGAAATTATCTTTTCTGTTATGTGACTAAAACTCGCTAAGCAATATAAAAAATAAATCTGACAACCCAGCTACATGACCTGGTTAATAATGTGTATAACGGCTTTGTGTTGCTGAACATTCAGGCCACACGATACATCTGACCCAGTATCTGTCAAACTTGCCAAATCAGTCAGTTTCTAAAGGTGTTTAACTAGAACTGGGTTTTAACTGCAAGAACGAAAGCAGATTTGTGAACTGCTAGAGTTTGGAAGCCATATCTAGGGTTAGAAGACGGCATGAAAGAAAACCCAAGGTGAAATTACTGTTATGTCAAGTCTGGCACTTTTGCCAGACCAGAGAGGCCAGGGATTCCTGTCAGCTCCTTTTTCCTTCCATTTATCCAAAACTGAGCTTCTACAACCCCCATTTCCTTTATGTTCGCTAATGTGCAGGGTGTAAATCACGATATTGTAACACTATTAACTCTAACTTGGGTAAGGCTGATTTCAGCTTTTAAATCTACTCTGTAGTGTAAAGGATGTAACTGCAATGTCCTTAAGTTTATTAAAAAATTGAGAACAAAAGGAGCTCCCAGTATCTCTTTGCACAGTGCATACAATCTCGAGTAAGAAGGAAACTTGAAAGAAGTTTGGCCAATTGCATTAGGTGGCTCTAGCCTGCGCCCACTGAAACCTTATGCCTAGTAGTGCGATAGATGTATTTGATGGAGGTAAATAATGCCACAGTCCTGTGTTTTTTCTCAAGTGGTAGATTGCTTTCTCTCCAGTTCAAAATCTGCACTGCCTTTCCCTTCTGTAAAAACCAGGTAATAGCCTGCAACTCTCCCAGGAGCGTTGTTATCATCCTTGTCCACAGTGTGCTGTACCCAATTCCTTCAAGACCCAAAACAGATTAGCACTAAGGTGAGATCCTATTCAGACTTGTACCGCTTCCATATGAGCTTCTAGTTGACAGCGCTGGGCACCACTTAGCAATAAATGCATAGTTTTAATGACAAAAATAGCTAGCAGTTATGTGCTTGAAAACTCAGCTCTCATGGCTGTTCATCCTTTTCCTTTATGCCACCAAGCTAAGAATTTGTATTCCGAGCCGTAGCAGGCAAAGCTTCAGGTGACAAAGGGGCCCTGACCTCGTTCCATGACAGCTATTTCAGTGGCGCCTTGAAGCTTGGCATGACACCACTTTGACATGACACCATTTCTTTGCAAGTGAGGCCAGAAAGAAATTGCTGCTTAGGAAAAAGCAGGCTTGCAGAATTTTCTCATGCGTTAACCCTAACTTCTGGCTGATTTCTGCCAGGAGGGGGATTGGCTGACACGAGGTAGGCGAGCAAAAGGAAGGCTGCCGAGCAAAAACCTGATCTCTGCGAGGCATTTCCTTGGCAGAACCAGAACCGACTTTCAGCTTCCCTGCTTTTTGAGAAGTGCCAGAGGTTTCTCTTGCCAAACTGAGTGACAATTTTTAGAACGAGGGCTGTACAGTGTCGGTCAATGCCTGAGGAGTGTACCCAGAACAGCGAGCTGGTTCATAGCCTTGTAATCTCTATGGAATAAGGCTGTAGGTCTGCTGGAGTAATGACCCTTGGAAACAGTAAACACATGCAAAGAAAACATGTTTAATTTTGAAAGGAGACCACAGAGGATATCCTATAGAATCAAGGGAAGAGCTCAATTTCACTACTAATTTTCATCCAGAAGAATTAGTTTAGGTATACATCATTTTATTCAAAACAAACGTGATACGGGTATGTTTCCAAACTTCACTTGGTTTAAAGTTAAAACATTAAAATAATCTCTGTGAGTTTTGACTCAAGTGCAAAGCCCCGGGTCAACCCCAGGTCACCTAGTAAAAGTTTCAGCACAGCAGAGCTCTTTTCACATACTGCATAAATTCAGGTGATTACTTTGTGGCTCATGATTTGGCATAAATACTTCACGTGATTTTAAGACCTTCCAAGCTTCACTTCTTTCTGCTTTCTAAACTACGGTGTTGCCGATACAACATCAATGACAGTATATTACGGCTATATCTGTGGATATCTAAATCCCTGGGATTGGTATAATTGTAATTCTCATCAAAATCTTTATTGAGGGTAAAAGTTATCAATTTGAGAACAAAAAAAGTAAAAGGCTTAAAATAACGTAAAAAGCCAGTGGTTATTAAGCAGAGATTATGTGTGTCACTATAAATTGGCATATATTGAAACCTAAGTACTGGTTTTGTCATTTTTATGAATAATGCATTAAACAGAAATAATCAAGTATGTTGCAACAATTTAAGAGGATTATTTTATTTCTTTAGTAACAGTTTCCTTATCTTACTTTTTTCAATAATTTGAAATTGGGAATGCTTTTTATTAAGATTTTTCCTAAGCCATGATTTCTTCAATTAGATATGTTAATACGCCTTTTCAAAAGCTTGACACCTACATGCAAGGGGGAAAGTTGGCACTTAGCAAATGAAAGAAGATATGGCAAAGCATCTTAAGCGACTTAGTTGCATATATTTCCTGTTCTTTAACAATAAAAGAGGGGGAGGAGGGGACGTGGGAAGGAAAAGAGAGGGATGAGGGAAAACCAGAGATCCTCCGAGATTGTTTTAACTTGGGCAGATGCCACCAAGGCAGCAGCAAATGGTGGCTTGGTGAGGGACCGGGACGCTACAGATGCCATGTGTTGCGTGGTGCAGCAGCGATGTCATGATGCAGCAGGCTTATTCACTTCGGGTTTTTGTGGGAAAGCCGGAGCTACAGCCAGCAGGGCCACAATTCAGAAAAGCGTATAAACAAACTGCTAAGTAAATTCATATTCAATGAATCATTCTTGTGTTTAAATAAATCATTTGAAATGCGTGTGTTGCTGAAGCGAGGCCTAATCATAAGCCACTCTGCAGTATCTTCTTCTCTGGCTTCATGGTTCCTTTGGCCTGAACACAGTAATTACATATCAGCAGTTTATGTAATGAATATTCATAATTTTCTCCAAAGCTTTAAAGACAGCTTTTTTTTTTATTTCATCAGACAGACATCCCCCAGCTCTCTCCCAGTAGTATGCTATAGCTTACATTGGCTGTTGCAAGTAGTGTTGCTCGGTGCATGAATGGTTTAATTTTTCTACATCTCTCTTGCAGGATGCTGTTGTCAGTAAGTGGAGAAAAGTTGCCAGATCCTCCTGTAGTTATCTTTTTACTAAGCAGAAGCCTTTCGAGAGCTCAGGGTTTCAATTAATAAGTGGTGTTCGGTGGTTTTTTTCTCTTGAAAAAGTATAGCTGAAATTTGTCAAGTAACACATGCAAAAACCTGGATGTTGAGCCTATTGGGTTTCACCAGGTCCTGGCTGTCATGTAGTGATCATTACACAGAAAACCAGCATCATCATAAGATGCTCATACAGTGCTTTGAAACTGTATTTACAGCTGTATGCCAGGAAAGATGTCTCTCTGTCATGGGATACTGAATAAACTCTACAGAACTCAAGGGGATTATTAGGGAAGAGTCTAGGATGTAATTGTTTTCTACCAGATTATTGGCAATTTTAGATAGCATTGGAGAGGGTCAGAATTCCAATGACCTGTGTAAGATCATACATGTCGTGTGTTAAATCTCTTCTAACTAAGAAACTTCTGAAATACTACAGTACAGGAGATGAACATAAATGCAAACCTAAAACCACACCTTTTACGGCTCTCAAATTTAATTCCTAAATTGATTGAAAATATTTTTTTTTTAAACAGAATATTATTGCTGAACATGAAATCCGTAACATTTCCTGTGCTGCACAAGACCCTGAAGACCTTTCTACATTTGCGTACATCACTAAAGACTTGAAGACTAATCACCACTACTGCCATGTATTCACTGCGTTTGATGTGGTCAGTTCACAGAAGATACTTCGTTTAATAGTTGTTTGTAATAGTTCTTTAATTCTACTAAAACATTTTCAGGGTATATGGTGATTAATGGAAGGTATCATTCATTTGCCACATGAAAAAACTGATCTACTATGTAATAGTAAAAGGACATTTCTGGAAAAGAGGAAAGGTTTTTTCAATATTATCTCATTTCCCATCTGAAATAACTCACTTCAGTCATCTCAGCTGTTGACTGTAAACTTGGTGAGTAGTTTTTCATACAAATCTTAAGCTGTAGGCTTCCAAGAGGTTTTTAACGAGCAGGTTTGGCCACCCATTCTGAAGTCTCCGTGCATCCCAAATAAACAAATCAGAACTGGATCAACGTGCCTTATGTACAGTGCTCAATCCTGCTAAAAGGTAGGTTCAGGAACTAACTTAAACTAAGTTTGCAGGGTTTCCTGCATTTTTGGCTGCCCTGTATTGCCTGTGCAGTCAGGAAAGGGGCTTGGTGACAGTCCAGCCTTTTGGCTTTAACCCTCATCTGTCTGTCCCATGCCAGCCAACAAGGGGTGAGACAGCTGGATGCTTTTTTGTGGGGACCTTTTGAGCCTGGACATATCGCACCGTCATGTGGGAGATGTGAGCTGCTTTTCAGACCAGAAGTCAGGTGTTACCACCATGAAGTGATTTCTTCAGATTTTTTACCCTGCTGTTCCATGACTTCCAGTGTTTCAGTGTTAAGCTGGATCAGTCCTAATAACTCAAACATCTCTCTAAATACTGTTTAGACTTTTTGACATTATATTGAATAAACTGGAAAAATGAAGCTTCCTCTGCAAATGTGTAGAGAAGGTATGAAAAGTTTTGTATTTACTCTTACCAGAGAACTGAAACACGCAGATCTGACAGAGACCACACAGATAGCTAATATCTCAAGAGGTCCTAGGATTATTTGGCTACCCCCCTGAATCTGAAAGATTTGAAACATCTGTGATAACAGAGATCTGTGCAGAGCATTGTCCTTTCTCTGCTCCTGTGTAAGTGGTTACCCCTGTAGCCATCAACAGATTATTGTTATTAGATGGCCCCTCTGTTCTGCTCTGCTCTCTGTTGTGTCAACAGGAGTTTCATCTTAACAAATAACGCCAATATGGAATGTGGGTAAGTTTTATTTTAGCAACACCTTTACCTTGACAGAAAGTTTGCCTTTATTTTGAAAATAACAGATTAATGCTTTAATTCTTACTTCCTTGTTCCAATCTTCTTGCCTAAAAACCTCAAAAATGTTATCTCAGCAAAAGTCCTTACAGCTCCTGCTATTTTGGTGCAAAAAATGACTAAGTTCTTCCTATATTTGTGCTTCTCAGATGGTGATGTATAGACTAGTAGTGTTTCAAGAAATCATGAACACATATCAATTAATCAGTCATACTGGTTTCAGCTAAACCTGGTGAAATAAGTAGTGGCTCTGATTTTTAGGACTAACAGGGCTTATTGTCCAAAACTTTCAGGACTATGTGCCCTTTGAGTTAAGCATGAGAGAAACTTAAGATAATACTAAAACTTTAAAATAATTCAAGAAAAAATATTTTAATATAGTATAAAGTGTACGGATCCTTGAAACATGCTTACATGAATATAAAGTTTAAAATATAGAGATGTCTGAACTGAGGCATTTTATTTGTGACTGGGGAAATACACTGCAGAGCAATAGCATGTAGGAGAGTTTAAATAACAAGATGTACAGGAAGGTAGATTAGAAGAAACTCGAGCGATTTGGTTCAGTGCTTTTGTTGTTTCACTTCTCTGCTGGCATTCTAGTGTCCACAGGGAGTAGAAAAAAACCCCTTCAAAATTGCGTTAAAAATAGATACACCATGGTCAACAAGATGTTCCATTATATAGATTTAGTGATAAGTGAATCAACTGAAATTAGCCTGATTGAGGGAGGTTATTATTTCTTCTGATCCATTTAAATCCTTCTTAATGGTTTTAAAGTACTGCAGTTTCATTTATAGGTTTAATAATCAAGCAAAAACATAGACCCAGGTATAGCAGTTGAAATCCATTTTCTCCTTGTTTGGCAATAAAGAATAGTGATCCAGGAATAATTACAACATTTTGCTCACTTCCCGTACCTTAGGAGGAGCATTTAATACCCCAAGCACTTTAAATGGCTATTTTAAGCACTACAGAAACTTTAATGTCTAACTGTCTCAACTTAGTTTTCTCCTGCAACATAATCCTCGCTGGAGTGTTACCTACTCAAATATTCTCTTTTTGTGTTGTTTTATTTCTCAGGATCTAGCATTTCTGATGCAAGTGCAGGCTTCATAAAAATAGCTAGATATTCAGAACACAAGCATACAGTAAATTAAATTTTCTGTTTAAAGTCTAAGACTTCCACTTTGCTAATAGAAACAGTCCTACCCATTTGCCAATGGTTAGACGTCCAAGCATGTTAAGAAAAATGAAGCTTAAAATTTAGAAGTCCACAATAAGGTGTAAAAAAGATGCATCTTAAATCATATATGTTATGGCAATACAATATATGCAATGGTATGAAAAAAAAGATTCACTCTCTAAGGTCCTTCAGTTCCACAGGAAATGTGGATGAGAGCGATTTTTTTTTTGCAGATAGGAAAGCATTTTAGTGGAGTGACATGTCAACTACCAGCATTACTGATACTTACTATTTAGGAGCGACTGTACACGTAAAGTCTCTACGCAGAGTTAAAATTCTATCGAAATCACAAAAACATCGGACTTGATGAAAGAATATTGAAGGTGATAAGGTTTGGGGGAAGAAGAGGATTTATTGCTCAATAGTTGAAATTCACTTCACTCTTAGTCACTTACGAAGCAGCTCTAAAACTACCAGAGAAGGATTCCTTGTGGAGAAACAAACCATCATAACGGTTCCTATACCAAATTCTGGTTCATATATGGGAGACACCCGAAGTGATTTCCATCAGATATTCCTTCATTGCCCAGTGCACCTAGGGATGGAAGACAACCAGCATAAATTGGAACAATTTCTGCTCTTGCTTATGCCAAGGATTAGACTGGGGTTCTATGTAACACAAAGACTTTTTCTTCTTTTCTGTATTCTTTTGTCCTCCATTGCACACACTTAAGCTGAGTAGGAACTGGAAACTGCTAGGAGGTCATACTTAGCAGAGAAGAAAAAGCATGCGTTCAGGTCTCAAAAGTCCTGTTCATTACCTGCTTCCAGAGGGCGACTTCATAAAATTTTTCTCTGTTCATATGATCATCCAGGTACAATCAGTGTGGCATCCCCATGTCTCCAGACAGCACACTTCTTCCATTTGCAGTACCTGGAGACAGCATGCCCAGACAGTGCCCTCTCCGGGGCATATTAAGCGGAATGCGTTCAACTGTTACAGTTAGCTCCTGGCAAACTTCCTGAGATGGAGCACACTTAGGTACAAGGAGCTTTCAGCTCATGAGCAAATGAAGCTCTCCTCTCTCATCTACCTCGATGGCTTTTGCAGCAGCCTGAAAGGCCCAGTTTGAAGGCTTGTATGCAATGGGAGGATGGCAACAAGGTACGTTTCTGTGCTGCATTAGGAGGGATGGATTCAGAAGCGTTTGCCATCCACAACTGCTTTACATCCAGCATGAGAAAGGATCAAGAACTGAAGTTGCAGGAGTGCCTGGTCCTGAAAGCCTCATGCAACCCAAGAGTCCCCAGCTGTTACAAGCAACTGCCAGCCGTGTTGATCTCATCGTACCATCTTTGGCGAGCGGAGCTTTCTTCCCCTTGAACTCACAAAGGCTGGCACGTTGGAGAGCTCAGACAAATGCATGTCCTTTCTGGAATCCCCCAAAAGTAATAGTTTTGCGGCCTGGAGGGATAAAGCATATGTACTTTGAACAGTGTATGTATGTCAGCTCTACGTCTCTCATCACTCCCGTTACTAATGAGTAACCTCTTCTTGTCGGGCTTTTGTAGTAGAAATCCTCAACATTTGGCCTTGAAAACTCCAGTTTGACTGAGAAGTAGGCACCTGATTTCATCCCAGGGGATGGATGTTTGAACTGGGATGGGGTTTTTCATTTTTTTCAAGTAAAGATTCCATATACTGTGTTCTGTTTGATTACCCAATTGCAGTGGTAAGTTTTTCTACCTTGAACACAGGGTGTCCTAACTGACGTTCCTACACATTCGATGTAGCTCACACTAATTGTCTGCCAGACTCCAAAGGAAGCTTCTTCAGTAAATTCAGTCTTCTAAAAAGACCAGATTTGACACTGATCATAAAGAAGGGAAAAAAAAACCCATCATCACCTAAAACCAAAGCCCCATAAAATCCTCATTATATGAAAAGTGCAAGGTGTTTGTTAGTTTTATTCAAAAATTCCTTTGGAAGTGACATTTTAAGTTTTTATAGCTCAAATAACAGAAATCTCTCTTAAAATATTCCTGAAGCCTCAACATAGCTTTATAGAAGCATGAAAACACAGTGAAGAAGCAGTGCCTGCTGCAACTTACACAGTAAAAACCGGCAGTTAGAACAGAACAGTGAGCCATTGTAATGGGTTGGCTGAATTAAAGTGACTGAAGAATCCAGACTCAGACTTGCATGGTGGAATTGAATGATAACATTACGTGGCAAACAAGGCAAATTACCTCAATTTCTCATCTCCCTGAAATTGTTGCTTAAAGATGTTAGCTTACTCACTTTCCTTCTCTGCTGTGCCAACCAAGGAGTGGGATTGTAGCAGCCTGAGAAGCACCGTGGTCCTACAAAGTTTTGCCTCCTTTCCAAGTGGAGTGCTGTAAGGGTCGAGGTCTTCGACAGCGTCCAGGGCGTCTCCAACTTGTGTGCTGAGCATCTTTCACGCTTTTGTGCCACATGTAAAAACAACAACAGCAATTCAAAGTTCCCACGCTCCATTGGAACAATTTCCACAATGGATTTTGTGGTTTGGTTTTCCACCCCCATCCCCAAGGAATCCTGCACTTACCTCTCTGGTATAGCCCCTGCAAGAGTCCATACCAACTCTAATCCTCACATTCTTCTCACTGTACTACAAGTGAGAAATGCTTCAAACCGAACTTACTTACTTCTGTGTTTTTTTTCCAAATACAATTTCGCAGATCCTTTTTTTAAATTTTACAAGGTACAATTTTAAAGCCCTCCTTGCCTCCTTTGCAGACTTCTCTTTGTCAAGGCTCTACCACGGTTATGAAATGTATGTAGAAGTTATGGTTCAGTTTACATTTTGAATATTGAACAGAATAGTGACTGTTCTGTTTTATTTGCTATATTTCAAATATTTATTAACCGTAGAAACAGTTACATGTTTCCAATGGCTTTCAGGCTCCAGGCAGGCCTATTTTTTCATTTTACAGACTAGAAAAGAAAACAAATTGCAGTGGCTTCTGACGAGATGCAGGACCCAGACTAGATTTATGTCTCCACGTGGCAAACTCTCTGCTTGTCTCCAGTCTTATCTCAGAGCTTTTCAGGCCTGTGTCTCAGTGACCTTTTTGTATGCCACACATTTTCTCAGTCCCACTAGTATTACAGTCCACTTTTTCTCCAAGCCACCACTGCACTCTGTCCTGTTGATGTATTCCTTAGCAATAATAATATTCACTGAGGCAATCCCATGATGATTTACTACACTATGATATTGTCATGACAGCTGACTAAGATGTCTTCAGAATAATATTCTTATCCTACTAATAGGCGCACTCCATTTCAAACAGTATTATTCTTAACATTTTTATCTGTTATACGCTGTTGGTCTTAATTCCACAGCCAGCATTCTGCTAAAAGGCAGAGCACTTCATAATAGTCTCTTTAGTCTTCCACTTATTAATCTACTGGCAAACTGCATCCTCAGTGTTTCTCAGTCCTGTCCAGTTTCTTTAAGTTAAATGGGAGACAATTTGGAGACTGCTGCTGTCAAATCAGGCAGACATTTTTATTTGGGAAGCTATGAAACTGGCTAGCTTGCTGTTGCGGCTGCAGTCATAACAGTTGAGAACATATCCCACTGGAGGAATATAATTGTTTTCTTTCTGATCCAACAGAGACCAGAGCTGGCACCTTTATAGGAAGCTCTTATGATGAGCTAAATATGTTGAATTTAGCCCATACTACCTCAGTATACACGTGTGATAAAAAAAGGGATGTAATTTCTTCATAGCTACAGTGAAACTATAGTGTATGGCATGAAATAAAATCCTTGTAATTGTGTTTTAACAGTTAAGGGCAGACAGCGTACTGCCAAGTGTCTTGCACTGCTTTCTGGCTTATTGCAAACTCAACATTATTATTGCAAACTCAACATTATTATTGCAAACTCAACATTATTATTGCAAACTCAACATTATTATTGCAAACTCAACAGTTAGACTTGACTAACTAACGTGATACATCATTTAAAGTTGTATCAGAGATGTGGGAATTTTAAGGGATCACCTAGTTTCAAAGCAATGCAGGATTGCTTCCAACTATGGGCTGCAGAGGTTGAGGAGGGAGAGGGTAACTTCTGAATTACTTCAAAGGCTTGTGAATTATTCTAGGGATACTGTAGGACATAAGGAGGCAAGCCTGCAGGGGGTCAAGACATTATTGGAAAGTTAGGAGCCTAGAAATAGGGTCTAGTAGGAGCCTATGAAACAAAACAAACCCACAAACCTGAAAAAGAATTTACCATAGAAATTCACTTACAGTTTAGATTAAGGTCAAATTTGAAACTCAGCAGCTTTATAGTTGATGTATATCTGTACTGAAAAATTATTCATACCAACCCCGTGGCTCCTCATTCATGCTTTATAAACCTTTCAACAGGTTTTCTTCTATGTATGCAGTGAGAATTTAAAGTATGCTAGCTATAACACCAAACTGGTTTTCATCTTAAGAGCCTGACTTCTTTGGAAACACACACTAATCCCTTACACTTAACTAGAGTATTCTGACACGCCAGTTTAAGCTCCAACATTTTTACTTCTAGAAAACACAAGCAGGAGTAGGTTGCCCCAGCACATGAAACACAGAGCACTGACTTTGGTGCACAGGGGCACGTCACCTGCGAAGCAGAGCATACGCTGGGTGTGATCCTGAGAGCAGATACGGGGTGAGCTGGGAAGGCTGGGGACGGGGGCTAATGTACTACTTCTACAGAGAGATGACACACACTCACCCACTCCTGTTTTCCTGTTTAGGGAGACAATGTTTTCAAAGTTGTTAGAATTAATTACCCTCAGTACAATAAATTACATTTAGATTGTTTTTAATCAATGACAAATCAAATGACAGATGTAAATACTGCAGAGACTTAGGAAATTATCACCAGTGTGATTTTAATTATTTACATTACACATCACTCCTGGAGACAGTACTACTCCACTTCATGTATCTGACAGTAATTCAACCTCACTCCAATTTTAACTGTTTTTGTTTTCTTCCAGAATTTAGCTTACGAAATCATTCTTACGCTAGGACAAGCTTTTGAGGTGGCCTACCAGCTTGCACTACAAGCACGAAAAGGAGGCCATTCTTCAACCCTCCCAGAAAGCTTTGAAAATAAACCCTCCAAGCCTATTCCCAAACCACGCGTTAGTATTCGGAAGTCAGTGGTAAGTAGAAAGCAGTGGTGCATGTAAAAAACTAAAATTCAGCTACACGGTTAAGAGTTGGTACATGTAGAAGCCGTACAAATAAATATACCTGTTGAGTCAGAAACGCTCCGTGCCTCAGTCGCGCCACCTCGGCTCATCAGGGTTGTGTCGCTGCGGCACGGGCAGCCATGTGGAACGACTGCTCATTTCAGATTCCCCCAGTTCAAGAGGTTGCTTGGCTAGCGGTGTGCATATGTCTTTTATAGTAATTGCAGAGCTTTAACTGATTCAGTCTAATTCCAGTGTGTTGTGCTTTTCCAAGTGGTGAGGATCACAACCAGTGAATCCACGTAAAACTCCACGGTTCCATGGACTTTCCTGATCATCTACAAAGAAATAAAATCGGCACCAAACTTGTTACATATATATGTATCCTAATCAAATTACAAATCCAAATCAATTTACAATTATCTTGTCACACCAAGCAACTTCTTTTCTTACTGTTGTTTTTTTTCCCCATGGCAGACCCTCCGGTTCCAAAACTGGGATTCAGTGTAACTTTTCAGTATTTTCTTTGGAATCCCAAACTCCTAAGAATCCAAGCTCATGGGAGCCTACATATTGTCTGTCTTTAAAGCGCATAGATGACAGAGAAATATTCTTCTATGGTAAAGCTTCTAAAAAAGAGAAAACTCTTAAATCACGTGAGAACAAAGGCACAGGGTGACTTGCGAGGGAAACTGGCCGCACGCTTTATCATATTTACTGGCTATGAAATTAAAACCACACTCTGTGATGTTTAGTTATTGGATTAGAGGAGAGGGAGGTGGAGAACTATGGCTGTACACTTCGTTGTCCACTGCCACAGAATCTTAATCCATAAAATTTTAGAGAAGGAACATTTCCTGTGCAATCATCTGTCCCAGTAAGAAGAGGGGTTCTTAGGATCAAGTCTAGCTTTACGCATACGTTCAACAACCTGCAGCGCCCTATAGCTTGGGGATAGAGAGACCTCTGATCTAAACAGGATAAAGAGGGCAGCGGTGGGTACGCGGGGGTGTAGACCACTGCCCTCGCTGCTGTAGCGCTTCGTCAGTACCGGATTTGTCCTGTGGTCTATGTGGTCAAAGAAGACACTTGTGCAAGAAAAGCTGTGCGCAGAGGTGGTGACCCATCTGTACGTTTGCATTTGTCTTAAAGCAGATAGATCCGTCTGAACAAAAGACTCTTGCGAATCTACCGTGGATTGTTGAACCTGGACAAGAGGCCAAACGAGGCATTAATACCAAGTATGAAACTACCATTTTCTGATACAAAACTGTCCCCCTGTTCCTTGTTGTGCCTTGCACGCCAAGCAGTCACAGCACAGCCTTTCCTTTATGGCAACGTTTCAATCCAGCAGAGAGGAAGACTGCACTGAGTGGCCTTGTAACTAACAAAAAAGGCTGACAGTCATCTCTGGTGATCTTCTTCCTGCAGCACTGACAGAAGAATGACACTAAATGAAGACTTTTAAAATTACAGTCCACAAGAGGAGTGAGAAACCTTATTTTTCAAACAGTCTCCCTTGTGACTCTGCCACAGTGCTTTCTTCGATTTCTTACTTCAGAATTCTACTTTTTAAAAAAGAAAAAAGAAAAAACACAACACAACAAAAGGTCTCTAAACTAACACTAATGCTGCCTATGAGTAGAATATTTGATTGGTTTTTTATTTAAATCTTGGCAGTTTTTAATTGAAACAGAATCAGAATTAATAAATAGAGTATTTGTGAAACCACTGAATTCATTGATAATTACTGTGTTTAATAAAGAACTCATTAAAGTGATAAGAAATAAGGCACCCTGATTTCTGTGTGCACTGGTTTTATATGTAATCATTGGTGTCCTTTGATCCTCTACAGAAGCGGGAACCTCTTGCATTGTAACAAAGGACCAGGGTTTTGTGAATGGTTAGAAAAAGGTATTAATAATGCACAGAAAACATTTATTAGATATTTTTATGGAAGAGAAGTACTATAGGAAAACATATGAGTATTTATGGAAGGAAGCCAGATTAATTATGACAAATATTGTTTATTTTAAAGTTACGTAAGCCACTGCTATTGCAGCATTATGAAAATGACAAGAGTTGTAGCATCAGTGCACTGGATGTTTCGTAGGATCAGTCTGGAATGAAAGCAGAATGGCTATTCTACTACACCTACATATACTTTATGCAGTTCAACATTGCTATAGCCATGAATTCTACTAGTCTACTTTTTAAAAAATAATCTCAGTGGTTCTAAAAAAAGTCAAAAACATAGATTTTGCTATCAAGATTTCTGCCACAGAAAGCGTGTTTGGAGGAGTATCAATAAAATTGTACCGCAAAACATTTTCTAAATAAAAAGAGCGAGAAAAAGAAAAAAATTCCAAAGTAATAAAAAATGTTTTCATGGAACAAAATAGTTAAGCATTTGCTTAATATTTGATTAAATAAGATTTACTTACGTTTTCTTTGAAGTGTTTTAATTTTTTTAATGTCTGTGGAGTATTTGTATAATACCATGATGTATATTTATGTAGAACTGAAATTATAACAATACAAATATCACTATAGGAGAAAAATGACATTTTAACGTATATTGTTCTATCCAGTCAAATTGTGAATCATTTTGAAGTTCATTATAGAGATATTGATAAATTGTGTGGTTGTCTTAATGTTTTTTTAATTATTATTTCATATCCAGCTGAGGTTTTCAGTTAGAATCATCAGTTGGTGAATTCCAAAAAAAATGGATAATCGAACTTGGTTTAAACCTGATAATTGTATATGGTTTAGTTAAACCTAATCATAGCGCTGAGTGATGACATACTTTTAATACGGTATTCAATTTACTTGAACAAAATAGTTCCTTGTACATATTTTGCCTATTCACTGTTGATATGTACGTAGTCAACTGACGGTCAAAAAAATAACACTAAAAATATGGTACCAAAAGGAAAATTGTATAGGAGAACAGTAAATAGTAGCCTCACTGCAACAAATACTTATGTAAATATGCTTGGGCTTCCAGTTATAAATTTTGTAATTTTGTCATTTATTTATATCCTATAAAAGCACACAAAATAAAATGAAATTGTACAGTCCCACTGCTTTGTGCATCATTTTATCATTGCATAAGGAGCCTGACCCAAAGGTTACTGAGGTCCGTGAAATGTCCTCCCTTCTCCCCAATTTCACTGGACTTTGGATCTTCTCCCGCACAAACCCAGGCATTGCTGTGGAGACGTTCTTGGTTTAAAATAGAGATTTTTGTTTGCAGATGGTAAATACTTCATAAAGTCCTTAATTAACTGGTTCTTCGGTGCAGTACTGAACTGCTGACTTCCCATATTTAATCGCACCCGGTAAAGAGTAGCACAGGGAGTTACCGTGAAGCACGTTCACTTCAAGCACCAAAAGTACAAAGTGGCCAGATTTTCCCTAAAATTATAAGGATAAGACGGCCTGCAGCACAGCTCTAATCAGGCACAAGGGAACAACTTGAAGGACGAATTTGATCTGGGTTCATCAAAGAGATGTTAAGCAGGTACGGTGGCACAGTAAGCTGCTGACCTTGTTTGGGAGAGATAATTGGGGCAAAAGAGGCTGAGGTTGGCTGGCAAGACTGATGGAAGATGAGACAGGTGAAAGACCAGTGGGGCAGGGAACAACCACAAAGAGAAAAGTTTTGGGACAGAGTGAGGCAGTGAATGACTGGAGCCTCCGCAGCAGGCATGAATTGACACTGGAAGGAGCGATAAGCCTTAACAGGCGTAAGGCACTTGTTTCTGTATTTGGAGACACCTGGGATTTTAGAAGGAAACATTTCCCTCGCTATTGGATACTAGCACAAACCAGTTGGAGAGAAGTCCACGACATCCCCTCTGGCATGGGACAGTGGTTCAGTGCTCCTTTCTTCACATCCAAAGAGACTTCCACCAATCTGCACCAACCCAAAGCAGTTAACCCTTGATCTTTAGTCCTTTTTGCTCACGGTGACTTCTCATTGAAGTTCCTAGGATGCTGGAAGTGTATAGGCAGTAAGGGGACAACCGTCAGTCTTAGAAGTGAAGGTAGGGGAAAAGTCAAACACCTCCAAAAGATCAGAAAGTGAAGAAAATTGCTATTCTTGCTCTCTGCTCAAGGTAAGAGGGAAGCAGGGGCAGTCAAGGAGAGTTTGTGGAAAAACGGAGCATTTGAGTGTTGCAAAACCAGGAATTAATTGCAGGAACTGCCTTACAGTGGAGGGTGGAGAACTGGCAAAAGGAGGATATGTAACTGGATTGCATTTGACCTGAGGAAATTGGCATCAAAGTGAGGTAAGTGTGGGTGAAAAAAGCAAGGTCTCTAATAAAGCTGCTGCTGGGATAAGGCTTAAAGACTGGAGGAACTCCTGAGGAAACAAGAGACACATTCTGAGTTGTGGAGATGGAGGGTTTCCTAAAGCAGATGCTGCATTTGAGACTGGGCATGGTGACTGGGCCTGGTGTTTATGAAAAGCCGGAGGAGCTACTGCTCACAGCTGGCAGGAGGAAGCACACGGCACATACAGTTCTGGTATTCTGCCTGTAATTTATGAGAGGCTGGTGCTCCTGCGGAACCAGCGTTACACGCCTTGCGGTTTGAAGCCAACATCTCCACATCAAAACTGGCATGGCCATAGTGACCACTGAGAAGAGAGTTAGGTGGTCATGAAGAAGGTTGTGTCAGTCCTTTGAAAAAGAAAGCAGCATGCTAGACAACTAATAAACATATCCAACTGCGAAATTATAGCTTCCATTCTAGACTAAAACAGGCGGTTTGTGCCATGTGCAGAACTCTCTAATTTTGCCCTAGATTTCTTTCAGTGTGTGCTGTTCAGCTGTCCTGCTTCACACTTCACTGGAGGATGATGATGCCTAAAATGTCATCAAGACAAGAGTCTGGAAATAGTAACTTCAACTGTCTCCAGACTACCAGCCCAAAGAACAATCGACTCCACGGAGGAGCTGTGTGGCAGTGACAAGCATGTAAGTGAAAGACATGGCTTAAGGCTTAGAGACAATATTTAAATGTGGGCACTTAACTGGTATCCCTCTTTTTAGATCTCTCATGTAAACAGACCAGCTGAAGAGAGTGGGAGGAAAAAAAAAACCAAACTTGCTGGAAGAATTGACAGGATTTTGCAACTTACTAGAAAGTTCAGGCTTCTACTGAAAAGCTCTGTAACTATCTAGTGTCCCGTAACTTCTTTAGGTGAAACACTGTCCTTGCTAGACAAGCAAACTGACCACGCTGCTATCAAGTCCTGCCTTGAACACAACTGGTTCTAGGTAACTTCCAGACCTGTGAGCTGATAGCCCAAGCTAGACAGAGGCTGACCACAGGCTCAGCTGAGACAAGCACACAAGATTCACTTGTGGCCAGGGTTCACAGTAGGACGCAGATTTTGTAGAACTGGTGGATGATTTCCTCCCTACTGACTAGACAGTCACGCTCGTCCTCATTACAATCATGAATGCATTCTGCTGAAGAGGCAGAAAAGGGTTATCAGGGAGAAGGCATATGGTCCTTGCTCCGAACACAGGAATGGGAAGCCACCTCCACGCCTGGTTGCCACTCCTGTACAATACCACAAGTCTCTTCAGTCCTATTTAACATGTATATGCAGTAGCTACTGCCACATCTTTCACCCTTCCGCTATGGAAGTCAGGCACCTAGATATCTTTGAGAGCGTGGATCTGGGTAAGGTGGTAACAACTAGAGAGACAAAAGTGCTGTCGACATGTAAATGAAACAGAATTCTCTCTACTCTTGCCACCAACAGCTTGGAAAACTACTTTTTCTATCAATCAAGAAAGCTGAATTCACAACACCTCACAACCACATAAGAAGTGAAGCTTAGACAGAAAGCGAGGGCCTTAGACTTCTTCCTCACAGAAAATATCACAGATTTAATGTCATAAGCTGACTTAATTGTGAAGATACATTCATTTTCATCATTTCTTCTAAACACGGCAATTCCTACCTTCAGGTCATTAGAACAACTGCTCAGATTTTCCAGATCCTTATCCAAAGCTAAATTTATTCTAATATTAAATACTTTTAAAAAGAAAAAAAAAAAAACCCACATACAACATTAAGGATGGGTCAGTGGCTGAGATAACATGTCCAGAATGGAAGGCAGTATATTTGTTATCATCTTTTCTAAACGAGTATTAGAAAACCCAGAAATTCAGGATGATAGACAGGAAATGGAAGTATGTTCCAGTATAGAGGATACCCAAAGAGCATTAACTTTATCCTATAGTGACACCATGAGGAAAAAAGAAACAGACCACACTAAATTTAACAATTCATTAGATGCAGTGCAGTCTTCAGTCTTGTGCTTGTGATTGTTGGATAATGATAATTGCTAGGCTGCAGAATTAAGGGCTTGGGCATGTTCTAATCAAAATTATCCTAACGTATATAACTGAGGGTAGCACCACATATTTCTTGAGTTCATGTTGCAAAGAAGATCAATATTTTTTTACTTTACCTTTATATACTCATATACTACTGGAAGCTATCAGTGACATTAAGTGAACAGTTCTGCACTGGAATTGAATGAATCTGCTGAAAACTCCTACTATCTGGGAATGCTGAGATGACTAGAGGTTAATATGAAAAGGTGTTAGATCATTCACCATGTCCAGCTCTCGGTGACAGACACTAGATTTCACCCAGCTATACTTGCTTCACACTTCAAGAATTACCTAGGCCAGCTACCTCAAGCCGAGAGACCTAATCTAGGAAAACCTAACCTAGGAAAACAAAAGGATGGATACCTGTCACACCTGAAGGCACAGCTCGCTCACGTTCAATACTGCACTTCCTCAAGCAGTCCATCTCAAAGGAACATGAAAAGATTTAAAGGCCAAACTGCACAGTATGAGAATGAAGTTCTTCCTGATCCTCAGCTGAGCAACAAACCCCCTGAATATCAGTGTTTCATCACAACCACTCTCCTAGCACGGACTATGCAGGCCTCAGACAAGGAGATTTATCAGGGGGTCTCTTAAGTTCCTCTTTGTACCCATTTTTAGGAGAGACATGCAAAGGAAGAGAATAATGACCTTAACTTTATAACAACCCATAACATTGGAAGCATACAGAACAGCTGGGAGCATTTGTGGAATGTTTTTCTGACACATTTGTTTAGACTTAGCTTTGCATAGAGAAGTAGAAATTAAGACCTAATTCCCTCGCTTTACGTGGTTTTGCAAGGTGCTTTTTAAATTTTTTTTCTCTTTCAGCTGACAGAGCTTGTTATTCTTTTGTCAGCGAGGCTGAGGCTGAAATGTCCTGCCCTTCTCCCACATCTCACTAATAGGTCACTTCTCGGCCTCTCCAATTTAGCAAAACAAATTCAACCCAAACCTTACACTGCAAGACTTTTGCCCAGCCCATAGATCGCTTTTTGTGGTCCTCTTGCAAATTTCCATGGAATCCATTTTGCCCCTGAAATACAGATACCCGAACTGTATGCACTACCCCAGCTGCTGCCTTATTAACGAGGCACAGAGATCACTTCCTCTCTCCTTCCAGACAGATGATTTTTACATACCCACAAGCCCTGTTTACGTACAGCTGCAGGCACTGTGCAGTTCATAGGGAGGACACCATCCACTTTCCTT